AAACAAAATAAAAATGGAATAAAAAATAAAAAACCAACAGTGCAACGTTCTGGGATGCTTTGGACCTGCAGCATAAAGGGGATTTCCAAAGATTAAAATTAAAGTTAAAAATAAAAATGAAAATTGAAAATAAAATTAAAAATAAAATTAAAAATGAAAATTGAAAATTAAAATTAAAAATAAAAATTAAAAATTAAAATTAAAAATGAAAAATTAAAATTGAAAATAAAAATAAAAATAAAAATAAAAATAAAAATAAAAATTAAAAATTAAAATTAAAAATAAAAATTAAAAATAAAATTTAAAATTAAAATTAAAAATTAAAAATTAAAATTAAAATTAAAAATTAAAATTAAAATTTAAAATTGAAAATTAAAATTAAAAATTAAAATTAAAAAATTAAAATTAGAAAATAAAAATAAAAAAGGAGAACCTTTTAGACCAAAAAACAACGATCTCACTCACATCCACAAAATCTGCCAGGATGCTGCATCCCAAAAACAATAAAAAAAATATCAAGAACAAGGATTTGCAAGTGCATTCGTTTCCTTAGTAAAGGCTAAAATGTTGAATTTTAATTTTTTTTTTATGGGTTTTTTTTTGGTTGGTTTTTTTTTTTAAAGGTTTCTCTATAAATAATTCTCTTTTTTTTTTTAAAAAAAAAAAAAAGAAAAGAAAGAAGAAACAATCAACCAAGCAAGCAACCGACACCGACTCTCTCATGGGAACGGCCACGCAAACTGAGGTGGGGGGAAAAAAAAAAAAGACATTTTTAGGGTTTGAGAAATTGCCAAAAAAGAGGGGAATTTAATAAAAAAAACCCTAAAAAAAAATGAAAATCCAACAGAATCCCTAAAGTGCCTGGTGTGGGGAGGAGGCTCCAGCAGTGCACCCGTTTTTCCTTTCCCTGGAATGAGCTGCCAAAGGGGTCGGGGTGTGGCAGGTACAGCAGATTTTGGGATTTTTCAAGTGTTTGTTTGGGGAGAGGAGAGGAGAGGAAAGGAGAGGAAAGGAGGGATTCCCACCCCAGATCCCTCTGCCAAGAGTTCGGGGTTTTTTTTCCTCGTCCCGGATGGAAATGGGAAATAATGGGAAATAATGGGAAATAATGGGAAATGGGAAATAATGGGAAATGATGGGAAATAATGGGAAATAATGGGAAATGGGAAATAATGGGAAAGGAGGTGCTGGGATTTCCGGGAAGGGAAAGGTGGGGTGAAGTGAGAATGGGAGGGGAAGGTTGGGAATGAGACAAAAGTGATGGGAATGGGATAAAAAACACTGGGAATGAGACAGAAACATTGGGAATGAAACAAACATTGGGAATGAGACAAAAACGCTGGGAAGGAAACAAAAACGCTGGGAAGGAAACAAAAATACTGGGAATTAAATAAAAACACTGGGAAGGAAACAGAAACGTTGGGAAGGAAACAAAAACATCAGGAAAGAAACAAAAAAGCCAGGAATGAAACAAAAACACTGGGAAGGAAACAAAAACGCTGGGGATGAAACAAAAATGTTGGGAAGGAAACAGAAACACCAGGAAGGAAAAGACAGGAATGAAACAAAAACATTTTGTTTCCAGGAGGGAAACAAAAATGCCAGGAAAGAAACAAAACCCTGGGAAGGAAACGCTGGGAATGAAACAGAAACAGGGAGGGAACAAAACTTTGGGAATGAAACACTGGGAATGAAACAGAAACACTGGGAATGAAACAGAAACAGGGAGGGAAGGAAACACTGGGAATGAAACACTGGGAATGAAACAGAAACACCAGGAAGGAAACGCTGGGATGGAAATGCCGGGAATGAAACAAAAAACGCCGGGAAGGAAACAAAAATGCTGGGAATGAAACAAAACTCTGGGAAGGAAACAAAAATTCCGGGAAGGAAACGGTTCCAACCAACCCCAAAGGGAAAAATCCAGCAGCACCTGCCCCGTGCCAGGCCAAATCCT